ACTTTGCGAGGCCGAGGTGGGTGGATCAGCTGAGGTCAGGAGTTCAAGACCAGCCTGGCCAACATGGCAAAACCCTGTCTCTACTAAAAATTCAAAAACTAGCCGGGCATGGTGGTGGGCACCTGTAGTTCCAGCTACTTGGGAGGCTGAGGCGGGAGAATCGTTTGAATCCAGGAAGCAGAGGTTGCAATGAGCCGAGATTGTACCACTGTACTCCAGCCTGGGTGACAGATCGAGACTGCTTCTTGAAAAAAAAGAAAAAAACAAGGCAACTCCTGAGGATTTCAAGTCCCATGCCTGGATCCTACTTGTCACAGTCCTAGCCAAGACTTTGATTGTGACTTTGTCCTGGGTTAGTGCAAGGCCTCCTAACTTTAGCGGCCCTCGCCAGCCTCTTTCAAGAGCAGCTTCAGCAATATGTCTAGAATGAACATTTGATCACCCTGCCCCCAACACCTACACACACTCCCTTTTAAAAATGTGCCATGCCTGGCTAACACGGTGAAACCCCGTCTCTACTAAAAAAAATACAAAAAACTAGCCGGGCGAGGTGGCGGGCGCCTGTAGTGCCAGCTACTCGGGAGGCTGAGGCAGGAGAACGGCATGAACCCGGGAAGCGGAGCTTGCAGTGAGCCGAGATCCGGCCACTGCACTCCAGCGTGGGTGACAGAGCGAGACTCCGTCTCAAAAAAAAAAAAAAAAAAAAAAGGGCCGTGACATTCCTGTGCTGTTAGAAATAATTCTAAATTTGCTATCATGGCTTTCAAAGCCTCATTATCTTTTCATACATTAATCTCAGATTTCTAATTTTTCATTTCTGGATGCTTCCTGCTACTGTTCAGTTCCCCACAGACACTACACAGAGTACAACAGATACAGCTACACTGAACTTCTTTTTAGTTTTTCAAAATGTGTATTGCTCTCTCTCCTATTCCATTGTCTGCACAATTATTCCTATTTACTTTGTACAATGTGCTTACTGCGTCCTGCCCAGAATATTTGGAGCATTCGGTTGTCGCTAAAATGGCGCTTATTTCTCAGATAGCTTCTGTGACTCCTCAGTGAAATCCATGGGCTGTATTTTCTATTGCTCCTTTAACAAATTACCACATATTTGGTGGCTTAAAACCATGTATGATCTTACTGTTTTGTAGATCAGAAATATGACTCATTTCTAACTTGGCTAAAATCAGGGTGTCAATAGAGATGTGTTCCTTTCTCAAGGCTGTAGGATAGAATTCATTTCCTTGGCTTTCTCAGCTTCTGGGTGCTTCCCTCATTCCTTGGTTGGTGGCGCCATTTCATCTTCAAAACCAGCAATGGATGTGGCATTTGCTTCTTACCATGGATGATTCCAGACTGACTCTCCTGCCCCTCTCTTTCATTTATGAGAACCAGTTTGATTACATTGGACCCACCAGAATAATGAAGGATAATTTTTCTGTGTATAGATCAGCTCGTTAGCAAAATTATTTTCATCTGCACACTTATTTTCCCTTTGTCATATGAGATAACATATTCCTCAGTTTCAGGAATGAGAACATGGATACTTTGTCCACTACAGGCTGCTAACAACACTGCACCTTCATGACTGTTTACATCTAGGGTATCAGAATCCCCTCCCACTCACTATAAGCCAATTTAATAAGAATTAGCCAATTTTATTTATCATTGTAGCCTTGTTCTTAGTACATTGTGTCTTATATAATGTAAAATCACACTTAATAATTAAACACACATTGTAATTAAAAAGCTGAGAAATACTGGGAATATTCCAGAAAGACATTGAGTGCCTGAAACTGTAATTAAGAGACATATTATTTCCTAGAGAATTTTAGATTCTAGAGCTTATTCCTGGCTTCTTTATTTTATACTAGGGCGATTTGTTATCATTATTTTGCCTTTATCCAAATTATTTTATCCAAAACCACATTGCTTTGAAATGTGTTTCTTCTTTTCACTCTTCTGACTTGCTTCTGGTTTTGATTCCCCTTTGCCCTCCATTTTTTGTTCGTTTATTGTGTTTCAATAGAGTAGAATCTGAGAGCAAAGAGTGGCAAGACTAAGTGCTCAGAGCAGGTAAAGGATAAGTACAGCGGGAAGGAAAGACACATTGGGGGCCTCTGATTACTGTTCTATATGCAAGTACAGTTTTCACTGGGAGTCTACAAGTCCCCCCATCCACAGATTCAACCAACTATGGATTGGAAGTATTTTTTAAAAACACAATAAAAATTATGACACAATAATACAAAGATAATAATACTTAAAAATACAGTGTAACTGTTTATATGGCATTTACATTGAATTACATATTATAAATCTTGAGATGATTTGAAGTATACCGGAGGATGAGCAATGGTTATATGCAAATGCTGTGCCATTTTATGTCAGGAATTTGAGTTTCCATGGATTTGGATTATCACTTGGGTTCTGTAACCAATCCCGTGTATGTGAAAGGATGACTATATTCTACTTGTGATTTAATTATTTTCAGATTTGTATTGGTATCTCATTTCACTATAGAAATTTTTGATGCAACTTTTTTAAAGGCATATATGTATCGACATTTTTTCTTTAAGGTTATCGTGTTGTGCCCAGTATTTTTTTTTAAATTTTATTATTTGTTTAATTTAAATTCGTACTTATCACTATCATATCCATTACCAAAGTAGAATTAATTTCCAGAAGATGACAATGATGAATTTAGATTCATGCAGTTCATACATAATCTGAACAGAACTGTGTCCACAAATTTACCGAGACAGTAGCAACTGTATTCACATCTCTCATCTCTCGTATGATTTTAGTCGCTTCTTTTAGGCCATCAGATTTGTCACACGTGGTTAATTCAGCTTTAACTTCACCACAAAATAGTATTAGTGGATTAAACATGGTATAATGTATTTTAAGCTCCTCACGCCACAGGGAGGACATGGTATAATGTATTTTAAGCTCCTCATGCCTTACTTATACTGACTAACAACATTAATAATGTTCATTCATTTTATACGAATGCTCTTGTGGCCACAGAAAGGCTGAGGAAGAAATCCGATGTGTTTGATACACATTATCTGTACTTGCTGAGATTCAACTACATGATATTGCAAATTTTGATATATAAATCAATGTCATATAGCTCCAATTAATAAATAATTATTTAAATTTCAAGAAATATATAAGGCACATCATATAAAACAATACAACACAACATTTTATGATACTGAACTTTGTGAAATTCTAATTTTATGGGATATCACCTTTCACTTACTCAATTAATACATTTATTTCCCTCCCCCAATTATATATAGTCATCGTGACCAAAGACACTATATATTAGGCAATTAAAATTTCCCAAGCAATTTACCTTATTTCTTACACTAGCTCAGTCAACCGTGCTATTACTGATATTTTGAAACTAAATAAACCATAGTTTATTTATATTATACTATTAAAGGTCATATATTAGTAAGTGTCTGATTTTGGATTTAAACCTAGAAATATTTTATTTCATAAATCGCAATTGAAATAATTAAGCCATAGAGAGCGTTTCTAGGTATCAAGACTTTTTCAGAATTGCAGCTTTTTAAGTAACACTCCTCTTTAAAAAACTAAAACAAAACCTATTGGTGTTTTAAGTTTTGCAATAAATGACATGTAAGTTTTGCAGTAACCAACATTATATATCAAAATACGTAGATTTTATCAACAATGTTTGAATTTCCTTTTTTATGAAATTAAGGTGTTTTTTTTTGTTTATTTTGTTTTGTTTTTGAGACAGAGTCTCACTTTGTCACCCAGGCTGGAGGGCAGTGGCGTGATCTCAGCTCACTGCAACCCTCCACCTCCCGGGTTCAAGCAATTCTCCTTTCTCAGCCTCCCGAGTAGCTGGGATTACAGGTGTCCGCCACTATGCCCAGATAATTTTTGTATTTTTAGTAGAGACGGGGGTATCATCTTGTTGGTCAGGCTGGTCTCGAACTCCTGACCTCAGGTGATCCACCTGCCTCGGCCACCCAAAGTGCTGGGATTACAGGCATGAGTCACCGCACCCGGCCGAGATTCTTAACGTAATATGTGTGTGTGTGAGAAAGATAGTGAGGGAGGTTGTTGGGAGAGGGTTTTGTGTGCTTGTATTTTCTTGCCTTGCATCCATTTTCTGTTCTGGTAATAGCTACTTTCTTTCAAAAAGCCATCCCTCTTCATGCTCATATATATAGTCCAAATGGGACTGAAGCCCTGCTCATCCTTGCTACGGAGGTGGGCTCATGGCCTTGCACTGGTCTGTGTCTGTTTATTTTACAACCTAGCCATGGCACTTGGTTTTGGGATGGGTCTGGGACTACACTTAATCCAGTGAGAATGAGTTGCATGAAATTTAATTAAATTTGGGTAAAAGTATTTTTTTGTATTGGGATTGTAAGATGCATAGATTTGAGTTGTGAGACCACATAGATAGTGCCTAAGAGTGAATACTACATGGAAGTAGAGGAGGAAAATCCAACACTGTTTGAGACTTTCGGTCCAGGCATTTTTGAACATAACTAATTTGCTCTTATATTTTCATGTCTCAGTAAATTTATTTGCTTAAGCCATATAATCTGATTTGTCAGAAACTGTTTTATTCTATTGCAGATTTGTTTATTGTGTTGCAATCTCTAACTAGCTTAATCATACAGAAATATATTACAGATTATTAAATTTTAGAATTTATGGAATAGAGAAGCAAAAAACTTTGAGTCTCCCCATCAGGAAAAGTGACTGTACTATAGCATTGTCCAACTTGCAACCTCCATGGTGATGGGAGCTGTGTACTAGAAACTCCACTGTGGCATCCCCAGAAAAAAACATATGTTACTACTGCTCTACTCGAAAAGAGATGGCCTCTTCCCAGATGAATGTTATCTCACATTGCTCAGTTTTGCATTTATATCTTGTGTGTCTACTCTGAGGATCTTAGCTTTGAGAAAATATTGGAAATGTTTTTCTTTCCTTTCCAGACTCTATGGCACAAAGAGGCACTATAGAAAATCCTAGAGTTTATTCTGAGTAAAGCAATATGCAATTGGCACAACTGGCAACTGAAAGGATCCTGAATCAGAAGGTAGTGTGACCATCAACATTTCTCCAACTTACCTTATTAGCTCAATGTGACACTCTGAGAATTATCATATTTCAATTCTACGTTGGTGCAGAAAATCTTAGCATGTTGTCATCCGATTTTCAGTAACTTATGAAACTTACGACATTTTTCTTTTTTGAGACAGAGTTTTGGTCTTTTTGCCCAGGCTGGAGTGCAATGGTGGGGTCTTGGCTCACTGCAACTTCCGCCTCTGGGGATCAAGCGATTATCCTGCCTCAGCCTGCTGAGTAGCTGGGATTACAGGCGCCCAACACCACACTTAGCTAGCTTTTGTATTTTTAGTAGAAACTGGGTTTCACTATGTTGGCCGGGCTGGTCTCGAACTCCTGGTCTCAAGTGATCCACAGGCCTCGGCCTCCCAAAGTGCTGAGATTACAGGCGTGAGCCACTGCGCCCAGAGCCAAAGCTTATGACATTTTTATAACTCATCAGGGACATCTCAAGACATAATCAACTAAAATACTATCCACTGGTGGCCAAGCACAGTGGCTCATGCTCATAATCCCAGCACTTTGAAAGAAAAAAGAGTGTGGATTGCTTGATGACAGGAGTTTGAGATCAGCCTGGTCAACATGGAGAAACCACTTCTCTACTAAATATACCAAAATGAACTAGGAGTGGTGGTACACACCTGTAGTCCCAGCTACTTGGGAGGCTGAGGAACAAGAATCTCTTGAACCCAAGAGGCAGAGGTTGCAGTGAGTTAAGATTGCACCACTGCTCTACAGCCTGAGCAATACAGCAAGACTCTGTCTTAAGAAAATATCTATTGGCTTACCTAAGAATGTAGAATCACTAGTGACTTTATGTTTCTTAAGATAAACTCTGGAAGAGCCATTCTAGCCTTCAGTTCATTTCTTTCCATTCCTCAGAATACAAGTGCCCAAACAATCCATAATTACCCAGTGTAGACTTAGGCAAGGTTTGTGTGCCTTTCTCAACCACACACAAATTCTCAAAGGAATAAAGCATGTGGTATCTCTATTAAATATTACAAAGTGTCAAAATTACAGAGTATAACTATGTAATTTGTGAAACATATGCTCTGTTTCTATGTTTTCATTAAAATTATAAAATCAGAATTTCTCATTATGGTATGAAATATAAACACTCACTTGGAAAAAGTTGCTAGCACAATCTGGATAGGAGCTGCTGTGGTTTTCATGGTTAGAGGATGTATTAGTTTGTTTTCATGCTGCTGATAGAGACATGCCCAAGACTGGACAATTTACAAAAGAAAGAAGTTTAATGGATTTACAGTTCTACGTGGCTGAGAAGGCCTCACAATCATGGCAGAAGGTGAAAGGCACATCTCACATGGCAACAGACAAGAGAAAAGAGAGCTTATGCAGGGGAACTCCCATTTTTAAAACCATCAGACCTTGTGAGACTTATTCACTATCATGAGAACAGCACAGGAAAGACTTGCTGTCATGTTTCAATTACCTCCCACTGGGTTCCTTCCATAACACATGGGAATTTCAGTTGAGATTTGGGTGGGGACACAGCAAAATTATATAATTCCACTCCTGGCCCCTCCTAAATCTCATGTCCTCACATTTCAAACTTATTCATGCCTTCCCAACATTCCCCCAAAGTCTTAACACATTTCAGCATTAACTCAAAAGTCCATAGTCCATAATCTCATCTCAGACAAGGCAAGAACCTTCCACCTATGAGCCTGTGAAATCAAAGGTAAGTTAGACACAATGGGGGTACAGAGCTTCCTAGACACAATGGGGGTACAGAGGTTGAGTAACTACAGCCATTCCAAATGTGAGAAATTGTCCAAAACAAAGGGGCTGTAATCCCCATGCAAGTCCGAAATCCAGCTGGACTGTCAAATCTTAAAGTTGCAAAATGATCTCCTTTGACTCCATATCTCACATCCAGGTCATGCTGATGCAAGTGGTGGGCTCCTACAGCCTTGGGAAGCTCCACCTCTTTGGCTTTGCGGGGTATGACTTCCCTTCTGGCTGCTCTCATGGGGTGGTGCTGAGTGTGTGCAGCTTTTCCACATGCACAGTGCAAGCTGTCAGTGGATCTGTAATTCTGGGGTCTGGAGGATGGTGGTCCTCTTCTCACAGCTCCACTAGGTAGTGCCCCAGTAGGAACTCTGTGTGGGGACTCTGACCCCTCATTTCCCTTCTTCACTGACCTAGCAGAAGTTCTCCATGAGGGCCCTGCCCCTGCAGCAAACTTCTGCCTGGATATCAATGCATTTACAAACATCCTCTGAAATCTAGGTGGAGGTTCCCAAACCTCAATTCTTGACTTCTGTGCACCTGTAGGCTCAACACCTTATGGAAGCTGCCAGGGCTTGGGGCATGCACAATTTGAATTCATGGCCCTAACTGTACCTTGGCCACTTTTAGCCATGGCTGGAGTGTTTGGGATGCAGCACACCAAATCCCTAGGGTGCACATAGCATAGGGACCCTGGACCCAACCCACAAATCAATTTTTTCCTCCTAGGCCTCCAGGCCTGTGACGGGAGTGTCTGCCATGAAGACCTCTGACATGCCTTGGAGACATTTCCTCCTGTGTCTTGGGGATTAACATTCAGCTCCTCGTTACTTATGCAAATTTCTGTAGCTGGCTTGAGTTTCTCCTCAGAAAATGGAATTTTCTCTTCTATTGCATTGTCAGGCTACAAATTGTTCAAACCTCTATGCTCTGATTCCCTTATAAAACTGAATGCCTTTAACATCTACCAAATCATCTCTTTAATGCTTTGTTGCTTGGAAGTTTGTTCTGTGAGATACCCTAAATCATCTCTCTCAAGTGCAAAGTTCCACAAATCTCTAGGGCAGAGGCAAAATGCCACCAGTCTCTTTGCTACACCATAACAAGAGTCACTTTTGCTCCAGTTCCCAACGAGTTCCTCATCTCCATCTGAGACCACCTCAATCTGGATTTCATTGTCCATATTATTATCAGAATTTGAGGCAAAGTCATTCAACAAGTCTCTAAGAAGTTCCAAACTTTCCCACATTTTTCTGTCTTCTTCTGAGCCCTCCAAACTGTTCCAACCTCTTCCTGTTACCCAGTTCCAAAGTCACTTCCATAATTTTGGATATCTTCTCAACAACACCCCACTCTACTGGTACCTGTTTACTGTATTAGCCTGTTTTCATACTGCTGATAAAAACATACCTGAGACTGGGAAGCAAAAGAGGTTTAATGGACTTACAGTTCCACATGTCTGTGGAAGCCTCACAATCATGGTGGAAGGCAAGGACAAGAAAGTCATGCCTTACTTGGCAGGCAAAGACAGGGAGAACTTGTGCAGGAAACTCCTATTTTTAAAACCATGAGATCTCGTGAGACTTACTCACTATCACTGGAATGGCATGGGAAAAACTTGCTCCTGTGTTTCAATTACCTCACACCAGGTTCCTTGCACAACACGTGGCAATTCAAAATGAGATTTGGGTGGGGATATATTCAAGCCATATCAGAGGAAAATATGCTTTTACTTATAGTGATACTTCATGACAACCCATAGAAGCATATTTGTTCTTCCAGCCCTTAAATATTTTAGATCACCACTCTCAAGAAGATAGGGTATATTTCCTACTTCTGTTTATGTCAATAGCCAGCCATCCCTTCCTCATTATGTTTAATCCATGCTAAAATTCAGAGTGTTACTCTAAATTTATTTCTGGCTTAGGGCCTTGTCCTTTTCATTTCCTTTGTCTGGAATGTGTGAGTCCAATTCTACCCATGACTGAGTCCTTCTTGTTTCTGAGATTTTAACTCTAACATCACCTCCTCATAAAAACTTTCCATAACCACCCAAACAGATTTGACCTCTGGCTCCCAGAAACAATTATCTAGCTTTATTTGTTCTATGTTTATCACTATCTGAAATTAAAGAATTAATGTGTATTTTAATTGTATATTTTTTACTCTGATATCAGCACCCAATCTAGTTAAGTACACAACATCGTCTTTCTTCAAAACTGTGCTAGTGGCTGGATTACAGCACATATATTAAGAGGAATTTGAATAAATATTTGTAGACTCAGTGATATAATAATTTTTACAATCAAAAAATAAAATTTTAGGACAGTTTTTGAAGGTTCTGAATGTAGCCATCTAGAGAACTTTTTTTTTTTTTTTTTTTTTTTTTGAGGCGGAGTCTCGCTCTGTCACCCAGGCTGGAGTGCAGTGGCCGGATCTCAGCTCACTGCAAGCTCCGCCTCCCGGGTTCACGCCATTCTCCTGCCTCAAGACTCCCGAGTAGCTGGGACTACAGGCGCCCGCCACTGCGCCCGGCTAGATTTTTGTATTTTTTAGTAGAGACGGGGTTTCACCGGGTTAGCCAGGATGGTCTTGATCTCCTGACCTCGTGATCCGCCCGTCTCGGCCTCCCAAAGTGCTGGGATTACAGGCTTGAGCCACCGCGCCCAGCCGAGAACTTTTTAAAGCTCTATATTTTCTTATTATTTCCCTAATATAGATTATAGAGACACACTTGTAAAAGCAAGATGCTAAGTTAGCCCTAGATAAATAAATAATGAATATTAAACAATAATAATGACCTGGTTTATGAACATTCCACTTATTCCCCTAATGATGCTTCTGTTATTTAACTGAAATTGAGGTTATTAAATTTAATCAGTTGCCACTCCAGATATCCACCATTATGTTATAATTAGGAGCAAAGGACTGATAAGAGAATGTACTCACTTCTTTTAGGAGATTTTCTTGTGAGCATATTTGTTCCCATTTGTGATACTTTAAAAAGGCTAATGCAATTTAAGATAGTGTTTATTTTCTTTTTTTTTTTTTTTTTTTTTTGAGACGGAGTCTTGCTCTGTCGCCCAGGCTGGAGTGCAGTGGCCAGATCTCGGCTCACTGCAAGCTCCGCCTCCCGGGTTCACGCCATTCTCCTGCCTCAGCCTCCCGAGTAGCTGGGACTACAGGCACCCGCCACCTCGCCCGGCTAGTTTTTTT